CGCTTTGCTCATTCGGCTAGGAAATTACATAGACTGATAGCTGTCGTCTTAGCCGAATGAGCAAGACGGGCAGTTAGCCGCAGCTAAAGCCACGCCAGGGCTCCTCATCCTTAGCCAATATAACTTCGCAATCGTCAGCAGCTGCCGCCATTGGTAGGGAACCCCTCTTTGGACGCCGGCGGTTCATGTCTGGTTTCCTTGCATGTGATTCACCCTCCGTAGCTGCCTTCCGCGGCGAGGACTTCGTCGCGTGAACCGGTCACTGCTCCTGCCTACGCCACCAGCACCCAGCCCTCCACGGTTGGGTGACAGTCCGCGCTTGTCCTCAGTTGTGGCCGGCCTCCGTCTGCAGCGATCCCACAATCCGCCCCTGCCATAACCCGCAACCCCCCACCCCCTTATCACCCTTGTTGTGCAGCTCGCCCTGGCACACCTCGACCACCCTTCTCCAGCTCATCCAATGCCTTCTTCGGCGCCTCCTCCTCCGCCACCAACATCCTCAGCAGCGCCCTCATTACGGGGGCCCTCACTACTCCCCTCTGGACGCCACACAGCACCCCCCGCGTCACGCCACGCGTCACGTCCTGCAGCAGCCCCTGCGCCACGCCGCTGAGCAGCCCCGCCAACACAGCCAAGGTCACCGCCGCCGCCGCCGCCTGTTCCTTGCCGTGCGGTAGCGTCGGCATCGAGGCTTTTGACTGCACCGCCCCTGGAGCCATGTCCTCTCCACTCTACGTTTCCTCTGGCCGGCAGGCTCTGCTGCTGCCGCAACAGCAGCAGCCGTCGCCGTTGACGTTGAGTCAGTCGCTGGAGTTACGTTCACCGCCGCCGTCGCCGCTACGACCGCTGCGACCGCTGCCGCCGCCGCCGCCGCCGCCGAATCCGCCACTGCAGCAGCAGCAACAGGAACAAGGGGCGCTGGCTGGTGAGACATGGATTGTAATGGAGCTTTGTGACGGCGGTTCATTGGCCGCCGCCGTGCGTCGCGGCGAGTTCCATTCACGGAACGGTACGCTAGACCTGGTAAGTCCTGTTTAGGCTACATGGTGTGGATTAGGCTTTCTGTTCAAGCTTCGTAATTGTGCCTAAAAAACAAAGTTTTCATTCCCCTTGTTGGCTGAAATGCGGCTGCCCTCTCTTCGTTTGGTGCAGCACATCCCCATTGGGTTCCTTCAATATTATTACAAGTGCGCAACTTTCGTAACTTTTCGTAAAAAAAGAGAACTTTGTTACCTATTTGGACCGACTTACAACAACACAGGGGGTTCCCCTGTTCACCGGGGCAACCGGCTGCTCCTCACGCTGAACACCTTTATGTTGTGCCATTCGAAAACGGCCGTACATCCACCCAACGCCTCTTTCCAGTTACTACTTACCTTAACAATTGAGCGTTGCTCGTCACGTGAGCATCTTTCCTGGCCTGTGCGCTGCAGCCGGGCGTCCTGGCTGTTTTGCGGGACATCAGCCGCGGCATGGCCTACTTGCACAGCCGGGGCATACTGCACGGAGACCTCAAGGCCGAGAACGTCATGCTCTGTAAGCGGCCAGCCCCGCCAGCGGCGGCTGGAGCAGCGGTGGCGGCGCCGGCCCGTGCCCAAACAAGCGCCAGCGGACTCTGGTGGCGCAAGGCCAGCGCAGGAAGCGCGGCCGGCTCTGCCACGCCCACCCTTGCCCTGCCTTCCGTACACAGTAGCGTGTCAGGCTATACCTCTCGCTTCGCGCCTGCCAGTGCCAGCACCAGTGGCGATGCAGCAGCTTCTTCCGCGGACTGTGCCGGTGGCTCGGCGCTGTACGGCACACCTGGAGGCACTTTATCCGTACAGGAGGGTGGCCTCGACAGCTTCCGTTACGTGGCTAAGGTATGTCGCACGCTGTTTGGGCCAGCGAATACCGGATTAGCATTTAGCTACAGTTGAAGCTTTACTACATCCAAAAGTAGTTGTTGACGTCGTGGACCTGATAACCCGACACATGACCTTTAGTAAACCAAGTTACCTGCGCGGCTGCTATTGCAGCTGAAAGCGCCATGGCGCGCTTTCCGCACGCCACGCGGTCTTTCACGGTGCATCTTCTCGGTGTTTACGCCCCCTTCGCTATCTTGTGTCACTTCCTTCAAACAAATATGAAATGCGCAGGTGTGTGACTTTGGTCTGAGCCGCTCCCTGGACCCGGGTCGTACACACCTCCGTACCGCGGTGGCGGGTAGCGTCTCCCACATGGCCCCCGAGACGCTGCTCCGCGGGGAGATGAGGAAGGAAGCTGACGTGTACGCATTCGGCGTGCTTCGTAAGTCTTGTCATACATTATTATAGCTCATACGTCTTCACGAAAAAAACATAGCAGTGTACTTTAGGAAAAGCAATGTTTAAGGAAAAAATCCCCCGATTAAAAGAGATTGGGTGGCAGCCGGCGGGCGTGTAAGATTGGCCACGGCTGTGGAAACGCAAGTACCTGAGACGTGAAGTCACCGTGGTTGGGAAAACGCATTCGGGTGGTGTGGTGTAGAGGGGAAACGGGTGTTGAGTTACTTTCTATTTGCAGCCGCCTTGCCGTGCGACAAGGCAATAGCTGTGCAATGCCGGGTTCCCCAGTCTGCGATGAACTGTGCCGTTCTGTAAACCCATAAACCACGTCTTATCATGTTACCTCCTGACCGATGATGCCGAATTTTAGAAAGCACCCGCCGGTCTTGCGCATGTCTTGTCGCCGCTCGCTCTATCGCCCTGTGCCTGTATTTTAACATTCTCCTTTGTTAACATACATTCTGAAGTCGGATGGGGTGAACGGATTAGGGTGCCCCTCTAGCAGGGGGGAGCAGAGAACTGCCTCGGGAAAGGGGCCTGCTGGTGAAGCTATACCACCCTGTAACAACATGCATACATACAGCACTTGTCGCGTGCACATGTAACCTCCTGCACTCCCTCGTGGCCCACCTGGGCGATCCAACTCCGCACCTTGCAACCCACTCCATGCCAGTCTGGGAGTTGGTCAGGGGAGCCAAGGCCTATGAGGGGCTCTCGCATGGCGAGGTGGTCCAGGCGGTGGTGCTGCGAGGCGGCCGGCCGCAGCTGCCTCCGCAGGCCCACACGCCCACGCGCGTCCTGCCGGAGCCGCTATCGGATCTGGCTTCGGAGTGCTGGGCCTCAGACCCGGATGCTCGTCCCACCTTCGAGGAAGTGCTGTGGCGTATAGACTGCCTGGCGATGCCGGTGGCGGTGATGATGATGGGCGGCGGCAGCGGCGGTGCCGCCGCTGGCACTGGAATCGGCACGGTTGCGGCGATCGTCTCGTCACAATCTGACCAGCAGCAGCACCAACAGCAGCAGCAGCAGCAACAGCAGCAGCAGCAGCAGGCCATGTCGTCAATGGTGCTACCGCCAGCGCATAGCGGCGGCATGGCGGCCCTGGCCTCGGTGGTCGGCGACACTGCCGCCGAGACCTCCACCGCTGCGCTCCCTGCCGCCCCTGGCAGCGGCTGCGGCGGCCTCATGAACGCGCCGCAGATGGTGAGGGCAGCGCCGCACGGTGGCGCTGCCCCTGAAGTCGTTACCGGCAGCGGGTCGGTGTTCTCATCCGACACCAGGCCGATGCAGGCTGGCTTTGCGGGGCTCCTAGCCCACATGGCCCGTCTCGCCAAGAAGGTACCCAAGGAGGATCATCCCAACGACCTCGGCGCTGGTGACAGTGCTGCTGCCGACGAGAGCAACCGCATCCTGGCCTGCGCTGGCACCTCCAACGCACGTGCCACGGCAAGCAGCGATGCTACTGCCGCCGGTAGCCTATTCACCGCCGCCGTCGTCGCCGCTGCCGCCTCCGGCCCGCAGCACCGCCCGTCGGGCCGCCATGCCCAGGTGCAGGTGCCTCTGTTCTTGCTGCCGTACCATCGGCGCCAGCAGTATGCGTCGCAGCCACAGCTACAGCCTCAGGCAGAGGCGGAGCAGTCCTCGCCGGCTGTGCTCCTGCCAAGCATCTTCAGCCCGCGTTGTGGGGACGAGCACGGGTCTAAGATTAAGAATTGCGAGGAAAGTGCCCCAAAGCATTGGGACAGCCAGGGAACTCAGTTTGGCACTGGCGCGTATGCGGCTACTGCGGCGGCGGCGGCGGCGGGGCCCGCGGCAGCAGCGGCGAAGCCCATTGACGCGACGGAGGCGGCGGAGGGGGGAATTGAGCTGGCGGCCGCCCTTGAAAGGTTTAGCTTCGGCCAGATGCTACAGTAGCAGCGGAGGCGGACGGAGGCGGAGGCAGCGGACGAGGCTGGGAGCTGCATGATGTGAGTCGGACACATACCTAGCGTGTGGGCGGAGACCAGGGGTGGCACGGACGGCGTGGGTGCGCTGTAGTCTTTTATGTACGCGGAGCGCTCCGGGAGGCAGCGCTGGTGCGCGTGTGGAATTACTGTTTTCCCGTTTGGCAGAATAACTGAATGTATGCATGCGTGTGCCGCATGGGAAATGTTCAAAAAGGCTCCGAAAGGGAGTGGTAGTACATGTATTCGTTCCTGCAGCGACGGCTGAACAAGTCGATGTTCGTATCTCGAGAGCTGACGATGGACGTGTCGTACGCAGGATGTTAATGGCCGCAGTAAGGGGTGTATTAAGGTACAATATCTTATTTCGCTACGTCCTCCCCGATGTGGAAAACATCGCGCCCGCAGAAGAGCAATCTGCTTGAATAAAATTTTAGGTAATAGTGGACATCAGCGGAGTACTTGTGCGAAGATTTGGATGTTGCTTGTCGAAAATGTTGGCGAAAAAGTCTAATGCCTGACACCACGGATGGGGCTAGCATTCGTGAGATGCATCAGCTCCTGCATAGAGCGCGAAGCGGCAGGCAGCTTACGACTTTGGAAAGCCATTTTCCGTATTTCGGCCGTGGCGTGCGATTAACCGCGGTTGTTTACGTGTGGGCTGGTATTACAGCTACGTTCAATGTAATTCAGCCGTCTCCAGCACATATCTATGTGTTGTTGAAAAATGAAAAAAATGGACAATACGTTAAGCCTACAGCCTTGTGGCGAGCTTAAGCCTGTGCGGGTTTAAAGTTTGCCAGCGGCCTCCCAGGCGCGTCGCACGTCTTACATCTCCCCTGTCTCAATACACTTCGGTCAGCAAGCCTGCGCTTCATGTCACGCCGGTCCATAAAATCCAGACAATTCTTAATGCTTCTGTTTTCCATTTCGTCGGCACTGTATGACTGGATAGACAGCTTGCCACTTGTGAACACAAAACACAGAGACGAGAGTGGCAAAATAACAACGGCGAGATAATTATCCAGTAGCAGCCCTGTAAAAAATGTTCCAATACGACCATCAAACCCTCCAAAACAGCCGTTGTGATCCTCCAGCTTGTCCAGTTAACTGTTAAACCAGTCGAAAAACAACAGGCACAGCGTAGCGACCAGCAGCAGCACCACAATGTACCTCGTGGTCGACCTGTTCACTGCCACAGTCTTGGTCAACGACTGGTTGCCAGCCGTGATGTTGTGCGTGGCCTCTACCGCGGCCAGGTAGATGCCCTCAATCGTCTCCGCTTGCGCTAGCACTGCGCTGCTGAACATCTGGTTGAGCGCGGCCACATCACGAACCGCTTGCTCCACGGACAGTGCCGCCCCACGGGTCGCTGTAAGCCGTTCCTATGTGCACCATAAACCAGCGGCAAAAGGACACAACGCGGTACGGTAAAACCTTGTGACAGGGACGATGATGGGCCTTAGGCACGGAACATTGTTGTGCAGCGAACGTGGACGTTTTTCTCCCCCCCCCCGGCATCCCCACATCTCCCCCTGGCGTTTCCGTACCAGGCAAACCCCCACAGTACGACAGGTCTAACGAGGCCAGCCCGAATCCCCAACTAATCTCAACCTCAATCACCCATTATCAACGAGCCCAAGGGATCTCGGCTTTCCGATATCAAACTATTGCGGTTGCTATCAAACTATGCAAACGCCCACATTAAGAACGACACTAAAACAGAAAACAGAACGAGTGGCACCCTGGGTCGCAAACGATGATATCCTGGAACGTAAGTGTAATGTTTTGGTATGTATGTATGTATGTATGTATGTATGTATGTATGTATGTATGTATGTATGTATGTATGTATGTATGTATGTATGTATGTATGTATGTATGTATGTATGTATGTATGTATGTATGTATGACTTAGATTACACTGTGGGCTGCGAGAGCCGGGGGCCGAAGCCGAAACACAGCGCAAGGGTCGGGAGCACACAGCACAAGTCGGTTAGTCTTGTGTGCTCCCGACCCCGACTCAGACTGCCAACATTCTACGCAGCCACTCCGCAGCCCCTCCATCCGGGGATGGCACTGCATTGAATACACCACGAAGGGCTCTCAGGTCCCGCTAGAGCGAGTCCACAAGTCTCAGCTAGGGCAAAGTCAAAGGCTCTCTGAAACAACCCCCCAAAACACCACCAACGAAAGCGGGATTCGAAGGGAAAACAAACAAACAAATAAAAATTCGGTTAGGGCAGTCCCGGCAGGGGAGGGCTCCTGATATACCTAACAGGCCAACAAAAAACACCTCCAAGAGAGAACGGCTAAGAGAGCTCGATACCACAAGACGTCTTGCAACCACCTTAAAACGACTGACCTCCACCACCTGTCCCTTCCTGGGCTGGTCCAGGGGAGAAGTAGCCTTATAAAGAAAAGGGATCCCGCACAAGCCTGATCACCACTGCAGGGGCCCGGGATAGTATGTATGCATGTATGCATGTATGTATGCATGCATGCATGTCCCGGGCCAAATTTCAGCCCGTGCAACCTGCAGTACACATGTACACAGCACCAGCATAGACCTTACCAGCAAGGCCTTGTTTTCCTGCTCCATGTCCTGCAGCTGGACAGGCCACTCAGAAGCCTGCCGGCCGCCACCAGCGACACCATCGCCGTTGCCATCGTGTTCGTGACCCTTGGTTCCGGAGATGTGCAGGCCGAGGATGTGCTGCCAGCCATTGGAAGCCACCGCCGCGCTGCCGGTACTGGCACGGGACCCCTCTGCCGTCGGCGCCCCACGAGAAGCGTCCTGCAGGTTCACGCTTCCCTTAAAATCTCACAAAATCTCACAAAATTAATAGGCAGGACCAGCCATGGGCAGGGCCTATTAGGCAGGGTGAATACTAACAGGCAAGCAGGGCCAGCGTGGTTGAAACGCTGCCCGCCATGGCGGCAAAGACCACCCTAACGTATAATTGTATGCGCAAGCAAGCGAAAGAGATCGGTCCTGGAGAGTCTGCATCTGTAACGTGCACGGTGTCAGCCGGTCGGCTGGATCCCAAAAAATGTCCTAAAAAAGCGCATTTTTACAACGGCTTGAGACCATACACGTGCTTGACATCAACGACGGACACCAAACCGCAGCATCGTGCCCGTTTCCCTACTTTTCGGCTGGGGCGGCCTGTCGATGCCGACGCTGACGCTGACGCCGTCGCCGCCGGCAGCCCCGGCGCCCTCTGGTCCACGAGGGCCTGATACCTGGCAGCCCTCAGCCGGTCAAAGCATATGGTGGCGCGGTGAAGCCGCTCCGCCAGGATCAAGACCTGCATGTACCCAAGGCCACCAGCGTTTCTTTATCTTTACATGAAGCCAGAGGATGGGCGGGGTGGAGGTGAGAAACTTGACGGGACCCATTCCTCAGCTAACGTCCGCTGCTCGTGGCCCGAGATGAGGATGGCTGGCTATGCACGGGAATGCACAGGGCTTCGTCCGCGAAGGCCAGTCGTGTTGAGAATTTGCGACATCCCGGCACACGCGCATCATCTTACCACGCCGTGCATGTGGGCTGAGGTTTGCTCGTTTACGCGGTTAGCACCCTTCTGAGAAACGGATGCCGCATCTTTGAGGCGATCTATGTAGCCACCTATTCGGCCGATGGAGGCTGCGACCTGCGCCTCGTTGGCGTCCTTTGCCGGGTCTCCGACAGCTAGGGCCCCTGCACGGCAGACCTCGAAGCCATTTACCCAGGTTCCACAGGCATTCAATTCCGCTGATTGACACCAGCCCGGTTACTTCTAAGCGTCCCACCTGCTTCCCTTGTGTATTCCTGCTGCATGCTGCGAATGCTGGCCCATAGCGAAGATATGCTGTCTTCCTGGGAAAACAAATGGCGCAGTGTTTAATGATTAACACGCCAATCCCCAAAACTTCAAAGGTGACTCACAACGCCTTTAGCTGCGACAGCGAAACTGCCAGGTGGACTCGATCGACGTCCAAGTAGAACAGCCTCTCTGAGTCGACGGGTTTGTTCCTGGTAAGGTTGTTTATATATTTAAGTTGCTGACGTCAATCGCTTTGTCCATGTGTAATCAGACTTGTCGCCTTTCTCACTGGTGGTAGCTGAGCAGTGTCCAAGAAGCGCTCTGCCGCTGTAATTAAGTCTTTCGTACGATCCATATTGCGAAAAAAATGAAGTCTATACTTTTCAGTTCCGTGTTGGCAAGCAAGAGCCGTGAACCAGGGAACGAGAAATGAAGCACAGGGCAGCGCAAAGTAGCTTACAGTACCGTTGCAATAACGAGTGAGTATCAAACGGAGACATGACAATGCAATTCGTCTGTCAAAACCTGTGTACGGCATCGTCATAGAATGTACGGTCAGGAAGAATGCGTCACCTCCTCCCTCCTCCATATTCCCAAGATTGCTGGTGGCCACCACGCTCCCAAGCCTCCCGTCGTCCTCCCTGGTAATCCGGACGCGGCTGCTCCTGCTGCTGCCCATAGCGCCCGCCGTACGAGCCTGCTGCAGCGGCGGCTCCGTAATCCCCAGATGCTCCGTTGCCTTGCGCAGGCCCGTCGTGCTGCATGCTGTGCCCGTTTTCAGCGTGTCCGTACGACCCGTACACGTCGTATCGTGAATGGTTCTGTCCTGTTTCTGTCACCTGATGGTGGTGATGTGGCGGGGTGTGATGGTGTGCGTACGGCGGTTGCTGGTGTGGCGGCGGGGGCTGTCCGCCAAACTTCCCATGCGATGATGGCGGCGGCGGCGGCAACTCGCCACCACTTCCGATATGGATGTACGGCGGCCTGTCATGCATCGACTGTCCGTACGGGCCTTCCCTTACTGGCACCGGTGCCGGGTGCCCGTTCACGTGCCTGTACAGCTCGTACGACTGTTGCTGCTGTATCCCTCCTGCTCTGCCACCGTGGTAATCGTGGTGTGATGGGCCCTGGTCGTACGGCACTTGCGGCGGCAGCGGCGTTTGTGCGTGCAGGTGTTGGTGCTGCTGTTGCTGCGGCTGCGGTGGCGGCAACTGAATCATTTGCAGGGGGCCGCCAGCCATCACCGCCGCCGTATCGGCTGAGACTGCCAAGATGATCTGTGCCTGTGCTTGTGAGGGGCGTGGTTGCGATGGTGGGCCGGGTTCTGGGTGCCTTTCCCATGCCGTGCCGAAGGACACTACCGCCGGTGCGAGGTGGGGTGGCGGTGGGGCTGGGCCGGGAAGCTGACTAGAAGGGGGTAGTGGCTGGTGTGAATGCGGCTGTGGTGGTGTTTGCTGTGGCTGCTGTAATGGAGGCGGTGGTTGAGGTGGCGGTTGAAACGGCTGCGGGATAAGGCCGTACTTGTTAACAGGGACTGCTGGTACGGCTGGCAGGGGCGGCGGTGGGGGGTGGAAGTGCGGGGGCAGCAACGCGGGGTCGAGCTCCAAGTGCGTGTGGAGAAGGGCGGGTGGGAGGACGTGCTCTGTAACAAGGAAAGAAGGAAGGAAGCACGGAAACAGGGAAGTAGGGAAAATGACGGGACGAGTGAAGCAAAAGAAACATAGCGATGAGATAATAGGTAGAGATACGTGAGACACGAAGCAAGGGACGGGGGAAATTTGGCGTATCAACGGGAAGAAGCGAGCTGGGGTCAGGTCGCTGGAGTGGAATAGAGGACAAGCGCCGAAGGGCCAGAGCAACTTTGTCACGGCAATGGAAAAGGCGCCAAGACCTGTGGTTTATGGCGGTGACCATGGCGGGATGGCAGGCCATATTCAATAAATGACATTAATGCATTTTTAAAGTATGAAAATAAAGTGTAAAGTGGTGGTAATACAGCGACGACACGATGATGACCGTGCGGCGGCCCACTCCCACCCTCGCACATACCGGCCCGCCGCCAGCCACGATCCCATAAAATGCGGTTCTGTCGGAACCAGTCCAGGCCCCCGTCCTCCTCAGACGAAGGTAGCCAGGGAATGGGCCGAAGTGGCTGTTGGTGCTGGTACTGGTACTGGTACTGTTGTTCTTGTTGTTGTTGTTGTTGTTGTTGTTGGCCTCCCGCGGTGGCGGCGGTGGTGGCAGTGGCGGCGGTGGCGGCAGTGGTGGCGGTGGCGGCGGTGGTGGCGGCCGGCTCCATGGGGCTGTTCGGAATGCGGTCGCTGCTGGGGTACGTCACCTGAGGAAGAGGTACCGTCGGATCCGCGACCAGGGGGATTAGGATCCAGAAAGATCCGGATCAAAAGAGATTAGGGATTCGCGTCAAGATCCGGGTCAGGGAGTAGGACTACCAATCTCCACCTTACCTAAACATGAAGGGGGTCGGGTGTATGGGGCGAACCCCAGCCCGCATTCACGTGCAATTTCAGCCCGTCACCCCTCTCTGCGAGACTGTAGGGCCACACTATCACCCCACCGCATACTTCTCGGACGACCAACCAATTTCCAGTACTAGTGCCACTACCACTACCAGTACCAGTACTGGCAGTGCCACTACCAGTACCAGTACTGCCAGTGCCACTACCAGTACCAGTACTGCCAGTGCCACTACCAGTACCAGTACTGCCACTACCACTACCAGTACCAGTACTGCCAGTGCCAGTACTAGTACCAGTACTGCCAGTGCCACTACCACGCACCTTGGGCACCTGCTGTCGGGCTCGCGCCCTCTCCACCTTCTCAACAGACTCCTCGCCTGCAAGCATGTGTATGCGTGTGAAGAGACAGACATACGTACATACGGACATATGTCACTTCGGTCATCACATATGCATCATTTCATCATGGATTGCTCTTGTGCTGCGTTTCGGCTAATGACAAGAATAATAGTAGGCAACATGCATAGTTGACACATCCTCCTCTACACAGACACACACACAGACACACATACAGACAGAGCCACATTCGCATATCGTACGCGCTGATATGCCCTCGTCCCTCAACCATGCTGGTGGTCAGTACAAGAGGAGGTGCCTTATGATAAAACACGTACTTGCTTACATGCATACACACCCATGCACATCCCTTCCCATCCCTTCCCATCCCTTCCCATCAATCTTCCACCCGACCTCCACCGAATGCATACATACATATGTATGTATATTCCCGACCTTTGCGCTGTGTTTCGGCTTCGGCCCGCGGCTCTCGCGGCCCACACTACTGACTGTAATCTAAGTCATACATATACATACATACATGCATACATACGTACATACATGCACAGTCCTCAAGACCCGTCCACAAGACCAGCTCCACCCCACCTCCTTACCCATTCCTGTCGGTATGCTGCCGGCCGGCAGCAGCAGCTCCGGCGGGGGCCGGTCCCACGGCCGACCCACGGGGGGGTGCGGGCCGCCCTCCATGGCCGCCCTCATGGACTGGTGCGCCCTACGGACTTCCTCCGCCGTCAACCGCCGCTGCCGCGCCTCTTGACGAGCCGCTAAGACCTGGCGAAAACCCGCGCAAACCAAAACACACACACATGTACACACAAAAAAACGCGCACATCAACACAGAGCGCAGAGGCCAAAACACCATTTGCGTGTGTTTGTATGTATGTATGTATGTAATCCTTACCCCCAGACTAAACCCCTACTAACCCCCTTCCAGTTCTTTCAGTTTTTAAGAACTTTCAGCCTGGAAAGCACTCAGCCCAATATTAACTTCCCTTCTCCTCCTACATCGTCCGGCCTACCGGCTTCAAGGCCTTCAGCCGCTCCTGGTAGTCCTGCTCTGCCGCCGCCACCTCTGGGTGCTTACGAGCCTCACACTGCAGAGCTAGCAACGCCGCCGCGTGACGCCTGGGAGGTACGGCAAGTACGGCATGCGACACCACGCCAGGTCGTGCCAGAGGGGCCGGGTCAGGGAGGGGGGAAAGGGGTGAATCGTGAAGACAGGCTTCGTCCCACTACACGTCCAGAAGTGACAGCGTGCAATACACAACCGGGCAGGAGATCGGGTCGGGTCGGACACAAGGACGACGCCAAAAGGATAAAAAGCAAGGATGATAGCAGCGATAACTAATTTATAAAGGCGGCGCCAAGGACGCAATGAGTTGAACCTGGCGACCTCCCAGGGGCGCCTGCAAACAAAATCGCCACAGACCACCACCACCACAGCACCGCCACAGACTACCAGGATCATCATAATCATTATCATAATCATCATGTAACCAGGACGCATGTCAGGCAGCGCTACAACAGCGCGCCGAGGAAGAGCCGCCGTACAAACCCAACCCCTCCCCGTATTGTTGGTGTTCCTTTATCTCGGCGGTTGCGGCCCCCCCCAACCCCACCTCCTACTCCCAAGGTGCCTCATTTCCCGGGGGGAGGAGGCAAAAGGCGCATATAACGTATCTCCTCCCACCCCAACCCCTTTTGAAACGTTTTGCACATGATCTGCCACCTCTCCTCTCCTGTCCCACCTTCCCCCTTCCCTCTTCCCTATCCCCTCTCCCCCGGTGCTTCCCAGAGTCCGAGGTCTACCCCCCCCCCCGCCTCCCCACTCACTGCGCCGCTCGCTCCGCCCTCAACCGAGCCAGCTCCGCGGGGCCCGGCTCTGAAACTTCCTCTGGCGCCGCCGCCGCCGCTGCCGTACCGCCCGCCGCCGCAGTAGCGGCAGCACCTGTAGCTAGTTCCGCTGGACCCGGGCTCGATTCACTGTTCGGGCCCCCGGCGGCGGCGGCGGCGGCAGCGGCGGTGGTGGCGGTGGTGGCGGCGGAGGCGACTTGCGGCGCCGCGGCCGCTATCCTGGTGGGACGAGCCAGCTGGCTGCGTCGTACGGAGCCGTCACCGAAGCGGCTCCGAAACCCCGCCACGACATCGGGATCCGCGGGCCCTATGACAATTGTGGGGAGATACGTGCGAGAATGTAATTATGATGGGGATAAAGGAACAGGGAGTGATGACTTGAGAGAGGGGGGAAGGAGAGAAAAAGTGGTTAAGGGGGGAGAGGGAGAGAGAGAGAAAGATAAGGCACTGCACCGCACAATACACCTCTTATATACCATTATCACCACTTCCTCTAATCGCCACCACACCACTTCCTCTAATCGCCACCACACCACTCCGCACCTTTTTCGCCCAACTTGGCCGTCATGTCCACCACCGTGGTCGGTGTTGGGACCGACAGAGATGCCGCGGCGGTCGAGACCAACGCCGTACCACGCTTCAATGCCGTACTCGCTGCCAAGCCACGACCCCCCGTCGAAGCGGTGGCGGTCGCGGCCGCTGTGACAGTCGTCGCTGTGGCGGCGGGTGCGCCAATGCCGCCGCCGCCGCCGCCGCTGGCGGCGGTGGCAGCGCCGCCCGCCTGACCTCCGACATCCATCACGCGCGGCCGCGGTGTCGCCCGTACATCACCCAACGCCCGCGTCGCCGCCAGGGATCGTTTCCGTACACTGTCTTTGGTCATTGTCGCCGCGGCTCCTAGAAGCCGGGAGCCGCGGATGAGCGGCGTGGCAGCGGTGGCGGCAGCGGCGCCGCCGCCGCCGGCGTTGGCGTCCGTCACTGCCGTGCCAGCGGCGGCGGCGGCGTTGGCGGTCGGAGCGACCATGTCAATAGTGGCCACTGCTCCGACCCGCCTGTAAGCAACCGGCGATATGGGGGTCAAACATTCGTACTTTCAGAGGAATACCAGACAGACAGACAGGCAGACAGACAAACAAACAGGCAATCCACTAGCCGCTTAAATAGCTACGCAGGCAAAACAAGTTAGCTTGTGGCGAGATGGAACTGGCGGTCGAGGGTGCCGCAGCCAGAGCAACCGCCATCCGCAGCTTCGCATTGGCATCACAATCAGCGACCGTACACCTCAATCCGTAATGCCCCGAAACCACAATTCACCGTAGGATGGTGGCATGATCGGGATCCTTGCGCCATTCCGCCAGCACTGCCGCCGCCGCGCCGCCGAATCGACAACGCATGACGGCGCTGGGCCCGCCGTCATCTCCTCCTCCGCCGCCGCCGCCGCCGCGTTGCACCGTGCCGCCGCCCGCTGAAGCCAAAGCCTCCAATGCGCCTTCTAATCGGGAACCCTGCAGCATCGTATATGTACATGTACATATGTTCATGTATGCATAAATACGATGTTTATGTATATATTCCACATAAAATGAAACCATGTCTAATTATCGTTGTTTGTACACACGCGTTTTGGGTGGTTCGCACACAGAAGCAACTGGTTGACGCAGTATGCACGTGCCACAAAACACATGACCCGGAGGGGACAACGCACATTCAGAACAAATATATAATAACATTTATTTTTCATGTTCAGGATAACACATTTCAGTACCTGCACCTAGCTAGCCGCTTCAAATTAACACACCGGTGACTTGTTCATCAGCATGTACCTAAAACTGAAGACGTAGACATTCAAATACGGTACCAATATGTCGTACCGGGGACCTGTCGTACCTTGAGCAGATCCCGCCGCATGGGCAGGCAAGCCATAGTATCCAGCAACAGCCGTACCATCGTAAACTGCTGATCCGCCAGTGCCTCCTGTCATGAGCCATGTCGTACATTATGTCGTGCGGGGCAGCATAAGTATAACATCACATCAAACTTCATGCGTCATCAATCACGTCGCGTAACACCCCTCGATTTGGATAACTGTCGGGCGCTAGTGCCATTGGTAAGGTAAAGAGTCGGGCAGCATCAAATCTAATAAATTTTGGTTTAAGTGAGAAAACCTAACCTTACGTCCGGGCAGACGCGTGTGTGTGCGTGCGCGTGTGTGCATGCGTGTGTGTATGTGGGCGGGAAGAGCGGGGGTAACAGCAGGCGGCCTGGCGGCCAGGCTGCCCCCTTCTCGCCCGTTCCCCGTTCTTTAATATCGTATTTACCCGTACCGTAATAGACTTGTTGCCTAAACAGCCTCTTCCCTAGCTCTGCTTTGCCCTGGATTGTCCTGGCGCCCACCCGGCCCCCACTCGGCCTCGGTGTCCATCCCTTTTCCAGTTCCCCTCGCCGCCTCCATGACTGCGCTGAGGTTCATGTCTGACTGACCGTTCTGATCATCTGGCGGTTTCTTTGGCCCTCTATATTTCTATATCGTCAATTGCGGACCACGATCGTTTTCGTGGAGCCCGCAGTTCTCTGTGTGTCCTACATACACCGTGCCGTGGCGCCAAAACGCCATGTCCGACGTCCCCTTCCCCTTCCCTCAACCTTCACCCTTAGCCGCAGCAACCTCGATTCTGAGCCTGAGCTTCGTCCTCTTCCCACTTCCCCCTTTAACGGCCTTTTACTTTTCCTCACCTGCAGCCAGGTGCTGAGGCAGTCCAGCATTCGGGAGTTTTGCAACAGTCGCCACAACACGTCCAATGAGGTACGAGACATGGCCTCTAGTGCCGTACGCCGTACTCGCCAGTCCGTACAGGTCACTACCTGCTGCTGAAACACCCCGACCGCGCTGATCGGGACGCTGCAAATGCCGCCAGTTTCCGGATTGACTAGAGTGCTGAGCTTTGCTAGTTGGGCCTTGCGGGCCGCATCCTCCTGCACGTCCAAGCAGTACAGTCGCTCGTCAACGACGGGTACGACAACACTGGACGGTTGCTGTTGGCGCGGCTGTTGTTGCGGGTGGGGTAATGGAGGGTGAGGAGGATGGGGAGTCGGTAGGGGAAGAGACTTTTGGGCATTGCTGCGAGATTGCGTTGCGGGAGCCGCCGCGGGTGTTGCAGAGGGGTTGTGTACTGGAGCCACGCGAAGAAGACCAGAGGCAGCCGATGGCAGCACGTCCTGACCCTGCAGCTTTGCTCGCTTAGCTGCCAAACTTAGGCGATCGCTGACGGCCTTCTGGAAAGCTCCGTGGTCCTTGCGAACTGCCTCCGGTGTGCAGCTTGCCTGCCACGCCAAGGCACGGACATGCTCCCGGTCCATTAAGTTGTCGATGACTGAGAACACGTCCGCCGCGTTGGAGACCGCGGAGTGGGGATCTGAGGCCAGCCCGACCGCGTTTCCGACAGCACCCGTCTTAGCACAGCCTTCTGCAAGCGCGCCATGCAAGCCAAACTCGAGAGCGAGAAAGGTCTGCACGCTGTACAGCGACTCCATGCTTTTAAGCTGCTGCTCAAATTCCTTCAAGCTGGACAAAATGGCTGTCTCCTTCGGGTCTGGACCCATCTGCTGCAGAGTATTAAAGAGCGATAAAACCTCGCGAGCTGACGAAATGTTAAAACTCCCAGCATTTGGTGTGCTGGACGACATCGTCTCATTGGTATTGCACTTCTCAAAGTCCATGGCCTACGCCTGATAAGTTCGTCAGCGGATGACCGAACCACGACAGAACGAGTTAGGTCGCCTCATGCCCAAGAATTTATAACGAAATACTGAGAACCATTATCATACAGCGAAGACTGCTGCAAGCTGGGCAAAAATAGCCCGCCCCAGATTGTCCGAGCAAAATTTAATCAGGCCGCCTAAACCATTGTATTCAAGAGAAAACACTAAAATATTCGGCTTAATGACATCATATCAGCTTCCTGCAATGTGCTCCACTCACAGATGGCACTCCCGCTGCCCAAACGGTAACAGCTGCGTATCGTACTTGGCTTTCCCGTACACATTTATGCAATCGCTGCGCGGCTCTGTAAGATCGGGCAAGCGACGACGACGCTCTTTATGTCTGATTACCATTCACAACTGTGTTACCGTGCGCTTTTGAGACTACTTGATGGATTGAAGCTCTTTATTCCGGCAACCTCGTAGGCTGCGAAAGGTTACAGCACCTTCCGGCGGTTCATCGGTATATAGCATACTTCAGCGCGTTCCACCAGCGCCTTGCATCACAGTGCGATTAGGACAATGCGGGGAAATTCCGAAGCCCTGCAATCCTGAAACTCTTTCCCCACCCACCCCTTCCCACGCAGCGCTGCAAACACTACCATTCCATAAGCCCCAGGAACCTTACATCTAAACTCGCAATGTCCCAAGAAAAGAAACCAAACAATCGTCAGATAATAGAGAGGATGATACATAGGATAAAGAGAGCCCCGCGCCACGAATCGAGTCAGGAGTCCCAAAACACGCCTCAAAATGGACACCAAAAGAACTCCGAAATCAGGACAACCAATGGCATGATACGCATTGCCGCACAGGCTATAGCATACACCGCCCATATAGGGCCCAACAACTACCAACCGAAACCGAACTTAACCCCCATTCATCGGAAATCGCACCTACCAACAGGCGTCCTGCCAAAACCCACACGGTGCATCTACAAATGACCAACCGCAATTTGGGCAAGGCAACGAGTTGCCACCGCAAAACGATAGCCGCCCGCCCGCGCAAGAATAGCCAGCCCAAGCTGCCGCGTTAGCATTTTCAGCAGGCCAACCGTACCGCACCGTATTACGGACAAATCTCCTGCACGCTCTCCGGCACTCTGAGCTCTCTGTTTCAATCAATAACGCCTTAATAAGGCTATACATTCACTGTACTGCTACTGCTACTGCTACAACAGCAGCAGCAGCAGGTGAAAACACACCGCAGCGGTTTTCAGGTCCCAGTGATGCGGCTTGCTATAGCCATTTCCAGCCCTCCCTGCTCAATTACCCCGGGAGGACAACAGCCACTGCGGGCGCCACGACCTTCCTTCCTTTCCAACCCCTGCTGCTACAACCTCTAGTGGTCTTTAATGGCCGCCGCTGCCACGGTGCTACTGCCACTGCAGCAAAAGTAACAGCAGCAACAAAGTGCTGCTACTGCCGGTGTGAGTGATGCTGCTGCTGCCCGTGCGGCGCCCCGCTGATCCCGCCCGACCCGCCACGGCGGGCAGTTCTCGCCACGGACGCCGTGTACACTGACTTGACCGTTATAGGCGGATTGGAGGAGGCGGTGCCTGTGATCGGCAGCAACGGCGTCCGAATCGGCGCCGGTGTGGGATCGCCGCTAGCGGCACCCGGGGCTTTGCTGGACGCGAGCTTTTGCTGCGTGTACCACGCAATGCCCCCCATGGCGATGCACACGCCTAGTAGTTTTTTTGCCGGCATCGAATCCCCGAACAACAGACAACCGCCCGTAAGGATAATGACGGTCTTCAGGTGCCCCACTACGTTGTATGTGAGGCTGGAAGTGGCGCCAATTACTAGGAAGGTCGACAGGCTGACCAGCAGCCCCAGCACAGCGGAGATGAGGATGGCCGCCACCGCAATGGGAGTGTAGTGGTAGGCGAGGAGGGTGCCTGGGGGCCGCTGCGGCGGCAGAGAAGGAGGCAGCAACGCGGCGGCGCCGTCGGCGCCGCCAGGCGCCGGCACGGGTGCCGCCATCACTGCCCAGCCCATTGGCTCACAGAGCGGCACCAGTATCCCTAGCATGAGGGTAGCCTGTAAGGATGAGAAGGGTTGCAGAATCGCATGCGCACTCATCGCATGCAAACTCAAACACGGACGTGCATACGCATACGCATACACGTGCGCATGAGGATGACCATCTGAGGACCAAGTAATGCGGGTGAGCTGCCGCAAGAAGGAAACCAAGAAATGGCTTTCCACTCGCATGCAAGGGCATTGCCACATCACCGGAGCCGCACCTGAGGCGTGTAGGCGTGCAGCAGCTGCATGCTGCTTGCCTTGAGCTCTCGTTGTTTAGATCCCGCCCAGATTTGGTAGAGCGCCGTCATGATAGTGGCACCCACACCCACTGCAATGCCCACCAGGTTCGACACCATCTGTGTATCTGTGACCGTCGCCACGCCAATGCCTAAGCACACCACCATCACCGACGCCACAATGCGCAGGGGCGGCACGCGACGAAACATTACCAGCTCTAGGCCTATGACGGTGGGTGCAACCGCGATCTTCATGACCTGCATCAGGCCAGCAACAGCAGTAGCAGCTTCAGCAGGATGACCAGGATATAAACCATGCAAACAGCATGCATGAGCATACATATATAGGCATTGCGCCCCTAGTTGATGGACGGTGGTGACCTGGGATAAAGTTAACCTGCGAGCCGACCAGGAATGGAGTTGGGCCGCTGTCGACCCGGCAGATTCCGTTGGATGCTGGTGGTGGGTGCGGAACCTGAGCGATCCACTGAGAAGTTGACTAGGGTGACTGGATGAGGGTGCCCCGAAATACCGGGGAAGGCAGGGTTTCGCAGGGTAGCTGCCACGGGCGAAGATACACCCCCTGTTTCACACATCATATATACATACAGGTGCACGTGTCAAATAAAATCAAAACACACAACTCACGACCCTGTCCTGGCTGTTCTGTAACTGCCAATGCGATCCAGCAATGAAAAGCACTCGGGCAGCGCGATACCCGGCGAGCTATCAGTAACCAGCGAGCTATTAGCAACCAGCGAGCTATCAGCAACCAGCGAGCTATCAGCAACCAGCAGCAGCAGCAGTAGCAGCAGCAAGCAGGCAACCAGCACTACAGTGAGCTGAGCTGTCCTTAAGCGGCGACAGGCACCGCTTGAATAAAGGTCAAAAGGTGCTGAGCCCCCACCCTGCTGTCGTAAGTCCGGAACAGTCACAGTCAGGGCACGAGCAAGCCTGCTGCAGAGCGCAGCACCACATACTCTGGAACAGATGAAATCAAATGCAGGCAGCAAACCAGCCAATATAGAAGATTAAAAAACGACGGGCGTTGGGAAAGCCTGAAGGCGTGCGTACCTGATAGAAGCCCACCGTGTTGACCTTAAGGCTCAGATTGCAAAGGACGATGTACGCAACGTAGGCCGCAGCAAGGGGCACCAGTCGGCGCTGCGATATGGGCTTGACAGGGAACATCCCTGCTGCTGCAAAGACTCGCATCCCCACAAGCGTGAAGACTGTGTGGATCCACGTCAGAGCATACGTGAAGTGGAAGCCGTAGGTTTGGAAAACTGCCTTGTTGGCAAAGACAATGCCTGGATGAGGGTACGGAGGGTGAAGAAAAGGTGGGTGGGATGCAAGCATGGAGGGGGGCAAGGAAGAGGAAGCGCGGGGATAGGTGTTCTCGGGTGTCGAGCAACACAGGGGTATATGGCAAGGTAATAAGGCTTGGGAGGGAGAGAGGTGGGACATGGGACCACGTGCTCTTGAGGTCACAAAGGTTAAGGCTAAGGAAAATGAGATATTCAACGATAGCGGTTGGGTATCAGCCTGCCTGTTACGGACGAGCGCCGCAACGCGCAATGGCCCAATGTGACAGGATCCCAGAACCATAATCGCAAAGAGTTACCTGAGGCCGAGATCACATTCATGATCCCATATGTGAGCGCCTTTAAATTGGCGCTGTTCAGCAACTGGCCCATGGTCAGACAAAGTCTCAGCAACGGAATTCAACAGACAGGTCTGTGTTAAAACATTTTGGACGCCAACAAAATTGGAGCTTTGCCGATGCTTTGCATGTCAGCTACCAAAGCTGGTCGGGGGACTCTTTACTTTGTATAGGTATATAACACAACCAATGTCGAGAGCTTTGTCTTATCATCTGAAACAGTAAAATGTCCACCGTAAATCACAAAGCAACTAATAGCTTGATCAAGGTAGCGTAGTTTGTGCTCAGCTGGTTTTACCCGAGACTTGGGAATGGTGTGTACATTACATAGATTATAAATCTCCTGTACTACCTACCCATGACGGCCCAAATTGAGTGGCTCGGGTCGCTGGGTACATAAGAAGGACACGGGTAAATTCCCAATGTCGTACAGAGAGCGTGGAAAACTTGCTGGCAATATTCCACACTCCGGTACAAATTGCCCGATACTGTCGGTGTTTATACAAACGCCTAAAGCTTCTCTTTGTTGCAATATGACTGGCAGTACTTTTCCCTATAGCACCCCTGGGCAGAGGGCGATACTTCACCCTGCCAATACCAGTGCGAGAATCAAGGCCTTCCAGCCCGTACGATTTTCAAGGGCGTCTCCCAGATCGCGGCTTGCTGTTTTTGCTGTCGCGGTAGTTGATGACAAGAGTGTGCCAGAGGCGCATAAAGGCCTCCATGGATTTCTGTATGGCGAAGGCGGTTCTGAGGAACACGACCGGGACTCCTCATACACGGTTCGAACGGTAAGGTTTCAGGTTCCCGACTTCCGTGAATTCAGCAGCACACAATCTTGCGCACGACGTCATAGTTTTTGGTGGGTCTCCGGCGGCCCCAACCACGCATGCCTTTTCCTCTGCACATCTCGCCATCTTGTAGGGCGAGGACGAGGGGGCCGTTGTGATGCCGGTGCCTTCGTACCTTGAATCGCGGGATGGCGAGAAGCCACTTGGAGTATACTGCGTATACGATTTCCACCACGACCCACAGTACATCGGTTATTCACGCAACATGGTATTGGCGGTCAAGGTGCGCGTGGATGCTCTTTCCCGGCCATGCCTTTGTAACCACGCAGAGTGCTGCATCCATCGACAGCCACGCCAAATAGATGATCCCGGTCCTTTCACCCAATCGCCCTGATGACATCATTGCTTCAGCGCCTTGTCCGTTCTGCGCACGGCTGCGCAATCTATGTCCACCTCCGGACCATGCACCTGCACCTTGAGATCTATACATACACAAAACAGGACTGATCGTGTAACGCGTTTAAAAGCCCTCCAACCCCATTCCCCTGCATGTGTTGAACTTCCCTCGTCCCCTCCCCTCTGCTAGTTCGTCCCCGATGCCTTGCAAATACCTGTGTCCTCCTAAACCTCGTCTGTCTGGGCACAGGTGAGCCCTGTAGCCCTCTTGACCGTTTTCATTAACTGCTTTTCAGTTTTTTCAGTTCCACTCGGTTTTCTGCCGTCGCCTAAATTCCCTTAACTACCAATCCCCACTTGGGCCCACATGCCGTACCTCTTATTAAAGTTCCGCGCCGCCGGCCCAACTCTCACAACTGCCGTACTCGTAGGGACATCTCGCCCGAGTGGGTCCTGAACGTTGTGCCCACGTGCGCGCCATGGTGTACGGCAACAGGGCCATGGCCTCCCGTGCAAACTTAGAACGCGGCGTCCACAACTGGATCCAGGAGCTTCCAGAGCTCCAGGGAAGGCCACCGCGGGGCAATTCGGATCCCGCGCTGCGGGCCGCGTGGGAGGGCGTCGCCGCCGCTGCCGCCGCCGCCGCCGGCGGCGGTGGCGGTGACGGCGGCGGCGGCGGCGACGGGCCAGCGCCGCTGGACCGGCGGTTGATGTCTCCTGCCGAGCTTGCAGCTTACGAGGAGAAGAAGCTCAAGCTGCGCAAGGTTCGGAGTGGCGAGGGTTAAAAATTGGGTGGTGAGGGGAAACGCAGTTGTAGCTTGTTTGGATTGATTGGAAGAGGGTTGTGGAAGCGGTGTTGAGAGGGCCGGACTGTGCGGGATGGCGGTGGGCTGTCCTGAGCAGGGCGGAGGGCGGGGGATGCAAAATGATGAGATGCGGGAAGCAAAGGGTTGACTGTGCCGACACGTCCAATGCACCATCTGCCCACCCTGGGTGTGTGTTTTGGGGGGGGAAACCCTAAGAAGGTAACGGTGGGGGCCAAGAAGATATGGGGGAGGTGAGTCGTGGGGATGGACCAGGTAAAGAAGGAGAAGGAAGGGGCGTGCAGGCTGTTACCATGTCAACCTCGTATGGCTTGTCGTGCGTTGTCGTATATTCCCGTGCCGGTTGCCGCCTCACCGCATCGGTACGCACCTCCCCCGTCCAACCCTCGCCCACAACCTGGCCGCGTTTTTTCAGTCCCATCCTTCAACCCTTTTTTCCAGTAGTCCCATCCTTCAACCCTTTTTTCCAGTAGTCCCACCCTTCAACCCTTTTCCACGTCATGTGGCTACCCGGATGACAGTCCCGCGTGCAGTTTCGTGCGTGTACGACACACGTCCGATGACACACGTTTATTGGCATACTAGTTTGATCCCCCCCTTCTTGCTTCGTATCATTTCAACCAGTCTGGTTATGCATCCCTTGTGTCGTACGTCCCCTCAGTATCGAAAACGTTCCTGTCGTTTGTCGTACGTCCCCCGCATCATCTGCCACACGTGTTTTGGTCTCCCCCCCGTCCCCCCAGATTTACTGGATTCGTACTGTTTGTTTTTTGCATGTTGATTTCCTTTGGGGCCCCCGCTGGCGCTATGTGTTCGTGCTCCGTGTTTCGTATGCTCTGTATTTATGCCCATGTTTTTTTCCCTGGTCACCGCCGTACGGTCGTGTGTAGGCGATGGGGGAGAAGATGGTGGAGGGCGCCCGGGGAGGCGGCAGTAGCCATGACGGAGCAGAGGGAGAGGAAGGCGACAGCGACGATCTGGCCACACGAAGGTACGGCATCTCACTGTACTGCATCATCACATGTACAATACTGTCAGCAGTTGTACAGTTTTGCTTTGAGTTTTGCATGTAGTTCTCTCATCATTCCACTTCCCCTGCTATTCATGGCATTTATTCGGTTTTCCATTTTCCGTCGCTCTTCACGGTTCGATTTGTTGCCGGTCCACCCTTCTCACCGCCTTGTTCACACACCTCAATTTTGTTTTTACATTTCTCCAAATTTCTCCCAATTTTTTAGTACCTGCGCCTCGCCGCTTTCATTCCGTGTCTCTCTTTCCTCGCATTCCCTTCCATTCCACAACAGGTTAAAGTTGATGAAGGCAATGGACCGCGGTGACTGGTCCGCTGTCATACACGCGCAAACCCAGGAGGCCCTGGGGGCCCCGGCAGCGGGGGGGCCGGGTAATGGCGACGGCGCGGGAGACGGGCCAGCGACGGCGCCATCCGCGACACCGACCTCTGGTGAGACTGGTAGCAGTGGCGGCGGCGGCGGCGGCGAGGCAGTGATGTCCGCGAGGGATGGGGACGCGGCGGCGGCGGCGGCGGCCGGTAACGGCATCGTGTCCCCCTTCGAGTCTGGCGGCGCAGCGGCAGCAACGGAGCAGCGGCAACGGCAGTCGGTTGGTTCTTCGGGGTCCGTCGCTTTGACGGTGGAGGCTGTGCAGGCGGCGTTGGAAGAGGTGATGACGAGGGGCTATCGATGATGGTGGTGACGATGATGTTCTTTTTGGTCAACTTGTGAGAGATATGGAGGACGAGTGAGGGGAGGAGGGGGGGGGCAGCAGTAGCAGTGGTAGCAGTGGTAGCGGGGGGGGGTGGGAAACGGTGTTTCGCAATAGGGTCTGTCTTAAAGTTATTGAAGAGTTTGGGAAGGAAAGGAATAGAAAATGAATATGATGGCATGAAGGGTCCCGTACTCACATCTAGCATGTGTGAGCCGGTGATGTTGAGGCTCTGACAAATGACGGGTGTCCCTTTGTACGACATTGTGCACGGCGAACAGGTACGGCCGTACCTGATGGCGGACGGCGGCGATGTGGAGGTTGTTGAGGTCAAGGACGGTATCGTGTACCTTCGGCTGCAGGTGGGGAGGGGCGGCCGGGGAGGGTGCGAGTGTGAGTGGGGGGCTAGGTGGCAGGTGTGTGTGTGAGTGGGGGGCCAGGTGGCAGGTGTGTGTGTGAGTGGGGGGCCAGGTGGCAGGTGTGTGTGTTGTAAGGGAAACAAAGGGAGCGAGGCGGCGATGAAGGTGGAGGGGGGAAGGGGGGAAACATGAAATGCTAGAAGCGGCGGGTCAAAACTGTCGATACGTCCAGAGCACGAAGAGCAACAAGGGTAGCAGGCCATGGGGATGTAAACGACAGGGGGGGCTGCTGACTCAGACGTACGACTAGCCGCCGTACACCCGCGGGCCAGATGGCAGGCGGGTGTGGCGGATTTGGGAAATGGGTCGGTCCTGCCGTACAATGCAATCGTGCGGCGGGGGGAGGAGAGCTATGGCCGAGGGAAAAACACTCGCACTTGAGGATTCTACACCACTATGCCGTAAATCACGTCGTACTCCATTAAACGCCCTTTTTTCACGCAGGGTGCATGCAGCAGTTGTCCTAGTCAGAGCGCGACCATGAAGGGTGGCATTGAGCGGGTGATACGGCAGACGTTTGGAGATCAGGTGAAGATCTGGGGGGGAAAGGGAGGGGAAGGGGGGATGAGACAAACCACCAGTGAAAAAAAATGAAGCAGATACCGGGGATAGGCGCATAATCCAGGAGGAGAGACGATTACTGCATCAAGGAATACCTACTGACCAGTGTTGACTTGAGTAGTGGGAGAGGGGAAATGAAGGGGAGGAGATAGATACAAATTCGAATTTGAATTCGAATTTTGTACGATGAGTATGAACCAGGTTGTCGTACCGAACGCAGTGGGCCTCCTCTGTGGGTTGGCTGGTTGGAATGGGTTACCTCTGCCGCTTATTTGTTTTTCCTCAGTAACCGTCAACTGCTTTCAACCGTTTTAACCGATCTAACCGCCTAGGTGATTGACATTCTTCAGTTGGAAAGCGAGGACCCTGGTGCCACTGCTGAGCGAGTGGACGCGGCTCTCAACATGCTGCGGGGGGCCATCTCCAACCTGGGGGGTAGTGCGGAGGTGGTTGGTGTGGAGGGAGGAGTGTGCACCATACGGTACGGTCTCTGTGGTTGTGGGAGAGGGGCGGGAGGGAAATGGGTGTTGTGGTGGGGGATGGGGTGGTGGGCGGGAGGTGTGGGGGGTTGGAATGGGGCGGTTTTTTTTGGAATTGGAGTGCGGTTACGGCATTGAGCAGGGTGTGGGTGTGTGTATGTGGGTGTCTGAGAGAAGTATATTAAGGTGTCACTGATTATGAGTAGCGGTGCACCCCTAGCTCTTAAGAGCTTCCACAGCGCTGGCTGCCGCTCTGGGGTCGCCTTTGCCCCGCACTTGGCCCCCCGCATTTGCCGCCCCGCATTTGCTCGCCACACTGTGTGCCACCACACTGGCAGCCACTTGTAGTGGTGGGAATGGGCGACTCTGGACTCCATGCCAGCACACGTCCACCCCACCTCTATTTCCATTTCCTCTGCACTTTCCCTGCATCTATTAATACCTTTGTCCTCACTAGGTTTTCCACTCCACACTTCTAGATTCAATTCCACCTTTCCTTTCCTTCCCAACTCCATCTCCGACACCTCCCATCTACTTGTACGACACCTTCACCTCCATCCCGACCCCTCCAGCTTCTCGTACGACAAGCCTTGTCCCCGGCTGCCCCCCACCCTTCAGGTACCGGGGGCCCCCCGCCATTGGCAAGGGCGTGCAGGGGGCGATCAAGGACACGTTTAAGGACATCCGGGAAGTGCGGCTCGTGGAGTGAGGGCTGATTGGCTGTCGGGTGGAGTGGGGATATAGACCCCGGGGGAGGGCGGAATACTGTGTTTTGGGGGCCTGCTGTGTGTTTTGGAGGTGTACAGAGCGGAGACGTGGGCATGTAGAGATGCTGTAGGGTTTGGCTTGGATGGATGTGTGCATGTATATGCGTGTACGTATGCATGTTTGTGTTCCATCGATCCGGGCCTGGTGCTGGACAGGGGCATCTATTTATACTATAATGGGAACGATCGCCGAAACTTTTAAACCCCCTAGCGGGTATGTATGCACAGATAGGTAAATAGGTAGAAGGTAGTGTGATCGTTGTGTCGCGATTAACTCGTTACAATGGATGTAAAGAAGTGTGTGACTTTACGATCACTTTACGATGTGTGTAGTAACTGTGCGTCTGAATGGTAATGAGGTCTTTATGTTCCTGTGTCACATCTTACACAGGCTAACCTTCACACACATACTCTGGACATTTCTCTGACACTTCATCTACGCTTTTCACACACAGCGATTCTACGCATTTTATTGTCCATATCATCACATTTTACACATACACACAGATCCGACATTTCTTATAATTCAAAAAAATTCAATTGCCATCCTACATAAAATCAATACACAATTCATACACAGATTCTACATAATTCATACACCAAATCTACACATTTCACACACTCCTTCTGGTGCACTGCGCTTGATGGTGACAGCATCAGATCAGCAATGTTTAGCTGTAGTTGGGAAGGAGGGTCACTGAGTTCATGCCTACCCCAGCTCTGTCTGTGATTGTGCCCATTAGTGATGAGGTCAGACCGGGGACCCCTTATCCATCAGCATACCTAGGGAGATGAGGTGGTGCTTAAACACTGGGATGTAGAATACATTCTCAACCTGCACACTTTTCACACTGTGAACAGAGAACCATACCTAGCTCTGAGGCCCCACGGCTGGCAATACTTGCCCACTGCTTACCTAGATAGAAATCAGAATGCCATCAGACAACGTGGGGTGCAATAATGCAAAACACTCTTGTCCCCCATAATTTGATATTTGCTGGCGCTTAGTAAAACACGCAGCTGAATAAAACCCCTCCCAACCCCCAATATATAAGCAGGAGTAACCATTTCAGGGTAGAAAACACATGAGTCTGCCACATGGCTCTCCATGGCAAGCAAGGATGCTTCCATTTGGATTCTCAGCTAAACATGGCAGTGGCCTCGGGGCGCCTCTTGTTTTTCATGCAGCTGCAGCAGCCAGGGATAGTGTCGGGCAGTGGGCTGCAGCTGGTATGTGGCCATGTCAGGCTGCACGCCAGGGTTTTGTACAGGGGCCAGGGCTGATAGCTGAGTTGCTGAACAGGTGTTGCGTTGTTTGTCGTACACGCACATATGTTAGGGTACGGCAATTGGCGCAGCTCACAGAACGCCGCACACGTTTTTAGCAGAGATAGAAAACAGGCGCCTTGTTATGTTATCAATGCATATTATGCAGTTTCCGGATGCTGATACACTTGCAGAGATGGCAGGTGGTCAGCTGTGTCTGCATCTCCGAAGCAGATGAGGGGAGAAAGGGAACAGTATGGCTGCGCAGGTTGTCAGCAGAAAGAGACTGAGGACACGGCACAAGGAAATTACACAAGGAAATTACACGTGTGATATAACAGACAACAGCTAAGAGGCAAAGCTTTAATCAGGTTCGTAGCCTGAAATAGCATTCTCAAAACATTCACTCTAAGAAATATCTATATATATCCATCTGTATCCATCAACTGTCCGAAATGAGGCCTACCACCAGAACTTCCTTACTGCGTTTTTTTCCATTATGAAGGTCGTTAACTTTTCGGATAAGTGAGCAGCTGCATGAAACGTCGGGTAATTCAAAGTCCAGCTTCAAACAGCTGCTCATTTAGTCTATGGCACCTTCACAGCGAGGTGCAAAAGAGAAGTTTTCGAGGGGCACGTGGTAAAACACACACACACATAAATCTTTATCTGGGCACCGTACAGCATGTACGGTATTTGGATGCCTGTGTTTGACAGGGATACGACAAGCTCTGACTTGTCATACATAAACAGCCACCATTCCTAGGGTGCAAGCACGCGTGCATCAAAACAAGTATCGGTATGTATATCTCATATCAATCTGTGTCATCACTTCCAGTGTCTAGCTCACGTATGTTGGCTCACACCTGCACCGCAACGCTATTAGCCACGCGCGGATTTGGACGGGTACCTTTGCAGGCTATGTTCACCAATAAGGTGGGACTCGACCCAGTACACTGCAGTACACCAAAGACGCGAGATGCAACTCTTCGCGACGCAGGTGCGGACCGGGCCTGCCGTGAAGCCCGCAATTCAAACCAAAGACCATGAAGAGAAAACGTGCAGCGATGGTGGTGGTGGTGATGGTGGTGGTGATGGTGGTGGTGATGGTGGTGGTGATGGTGGTGGTGATGGTGGTGGTGGTGGTGATGGTGGTGGTGATGGTGGTGGTGATGGTGGTGGTGATGGTGGTGATCATGGTGATGGTGGCACTAATAATGATGTCAGTGTGGGCCAACCGTGAAGAGTCACTCCATGGCACCTCCTCAACCTCGCCCTTCACTCCGGTCTGACACAGGTCACCATGATGGTTGTGTGGTACACACACATACACACATACATACATACATACGTACAATGTCCGTATGTACGTACATACACACTTGCATCCTGCATTCGGCTCATTTGTGTAAGCAACGTACCAAGTGGACACAGCCCATTCTTCCAATATTTCAGTAACATTTATGTGACCAACAGATACGACATTTTTCTTCAATCTCAATTATAGCTTAAAGCTCACACCAAAATTCGCTTTCGCCCGGGATCACGTCACCCCAGGGTCCTTTTCCCTTCACCCTTCCTTTAGGCCCAGGGTGATATTCCAGCCAGCCAGGAACAAGGTCCTCCCTAGTGTGAAAAATACGCACACACATACATACACACATATACACACACAGAGACCCACCGCCGGTGGCGACAGTACTGCGGAAATAGCGCAACTGCTGTATACAGCCCGTACTGGGACGAAAAGTAGCGCAACGCGAATATCATACACTCGCTTTGTGTTGTGACGTTAGCGGACGTCCACCTTTTCACGGAAATTAAATTTATGAGGGACCTGCAGAGCCGTGCGTGGCACAACCCGTACATTCACCCACGCTTGGTGAAACTCTTTCCCCCTTAGAGCAACCGTGTCAAACAAACTCCACATCAGTTGTAGCACCTAGACATGAAGGGCATGACACTCGCACAAAAAACGAAAGTGAACCCATTAAAAAGATGAATACAGGCAATGTGACTATTCAAGTACGCATACCTGCACAAAACTGCGCACACATGCCGTACTTGATAGAAAACATGCCATGTGCCCTGCTGTGAGCGGTTGTGATTATTGTATACAGGTGCAGAGCGACAGCAAGCCAGCACGGGGATTAGAACTGGGGACCGGGGAGGGGGCCCAGGTAAGCCCCGGCAATTCCGAGAAGGCAGCCGAAAAGAACCCAGGGATTGATGTCATGATAGGTCCTATCTCACGGGTCGCAACACTTCTCAACTTACCACCACTCTCCTTCCACACAGCCTTGAGAAACACGCACACGCTTGCATATACACACCCATACACGCACACAGCAAACAGACAACACAAATTCCGGTGGCTATAATCTGGATTTTATCAGGTGGCTATTTTCAACACACCTGTGCGACAAAGCCATCACGGCGAGAGTTGGGAAGCGCACTCTATCCCTGCCATCAGGGCCAAAACCTAGAAAAAAAACACGGCAGCTTTGTCACCTGGCGAGTGCCAGGGGAGCGGATGCCAGTTAAAGGCCAAGTCGGCAGTCTGACTTGAGCTCATTTCAGGATGCTGGCCATTAGATTCCCTTTAGGGATTTCATTCGCGGTCCTCAGGTCCTGATCAAGCAACCTGCCGTACATGCCACAAACGCAAACGCACCACAAACACACCTTCTAGGCCCGATGGAGAATCCATACTCCGTTTGGGATCCAGATTTGAAATCCAGGTACGTACATCCAGATCTAGGCATGTAAACTCAAGTCTGTGCCGCTGTTTGCTTGCGAGCCACCACCAACACCTAATATTATACTGCATCCAGACAGCGCACGTTTGCGCGTAAGTGCATTTGTAGGTACGCATGCATGTGACAAAAATCCAATGACCGATATGTGTGAGCTATCGTAGGCTGGTTATGTGCGGCCACAAAACCGGCGATGTCATGCGATGACCTTGTAAATGCATACCGTGAAAAGAGGCTTTGTCCAAACCCGAATGCGTAATGCGCTGTGGAGGATACGGCCCGAGGAAGGTCATGGTGGTTGAGGAGGTGGTTAGGTGGGCATTAGCGCAGCTGTTGGCCAGGTTGGCTCTGCGCAGGTTGGCCAAAAGCTAGCATGATAGATGGCAAGCGCCAGCATGATAGAGAAACGCAGAAAAAGGTCAGGAAACATGTGCTTTACCACAACGGCAGAGTATTTTTGTGGAGGAGGTAAAACCCTGCTGCAAATCCATCGTCATGAGCTTCCTTGATGAGAACCTCTCCCGTACGCAGATTTTCCGTACACACTCCATGCGGACAACGACACTTAACGTGACCCCGAGTCTCATGCATGATAACAGGAGGGACGAGAATGAGGTGTCCACGATGTCACGCCGAAGGGGAGAAAAAGAGATTTAGCAAACCAATTATGCCAGTCGAGGCTGTCACACCGCTTGCCGTACACAGTCAGGAATGTCGGCTGCTTGCCGAACAGGGAGATTATTACCACAACATCCACCCATCCGCATCCCATCATCGCAGCAGGCTCTGTAGCGAAGCCACAACCGCACAGTCACTGTCACTCAAAAATGCAGAACCCGTGCTATGCAAGCATTAACCTCGCCCCATCAGTACTACTAAGTTGGCAAAAGGTAAGTTCGCCCGGGGGGCCAACACCGACGTATTCTCGACAAATTAAAAAGCCCACCCAAATCACGGCTACTGTTGTTGTTGTTACAGCGGGCTACCAGACTTCTATGCTTGGGAGCAAAGAAGCCAAGCCGAAGTGTGTTTTAGGACAAATCGCCCGACACTGCAAGAAACAGACATCACAAAAAGGACTATTGTCCTGTCTCGTATGCTGTCGTATAAAAGCAAGATGTGTGGCAGTTCTTAGCCGTACCCCGTCCAAGCCGGAACACACGGTTATAGCTGTACGATTAGCATACAGAAGCGAGCAAGAAATACACTGCTTGCCTAATCAAGCACATGCAGGCGTGCTTTTGTGGCGCTGGCCAGCAAGCTGACAGTGCTGCCGGCTGGGTAACAAACACCGGCCTCGTATCGGTAAAAGCTATACGGTTGCACGGCGCACTTCAACTAAGCTGCACCGTAGTCAAGATGTACGGCCTGCCGTACACCCCTGCCCCTGCCATGATGGGCATGTGCTCGAAAAGGCACCCCGGGGGAAGGAAATACACAGGTCGCTCAAAAGCGAGCGAGATCCCTCAACACTTTTTTTCTGTTTGTGTGCGTGTGAGTGGAGAGGATTTACACCTCTCAGGGGAAGGGCGGGCGCTTTCAAATTTTCAAATGCCTGACAGAAGATCCTCCAGCAGCCCGCCAATAATGCGAGGCTCTCAGGCGCCCTAGGTAGGACCGTAGCCCTCCCTTATCTCCCCGATTGGGCCTAACCGGCGTGTGTGCAAGCCAAAAGCGCTGTGGCTTTCTGCACCACGGTGGTGCCCCAGTGCTGTTGTCTTCTGCGCATGCAGCGTCCTTACGTCCTGCTTCCGTAAACCCCCATCGATCGACCGTCCAAGAGGTAGTACATGTGCATGTGCATGTGTGTATTTAAAGTATGTGTGAACCACTTATGCATGTGCACGTTCAGATGCTGAAAATTAACCCGCATTCTATACACGGTGTGCTGGCAGTTTCCCTTTTGACGAAAATGTTTTTTTCTAGTGGGGAAGACCACCTCCTTGGCAAGGCCTTCATGCCATGTACAGCCTCGCAATGCAACCCCATGCAGATCGGTTCGTCTGTTTGTTCGTCCGTACATACGCATCTCTTAGAGACAAATCGGTGTGTTGTCCTATGCCGTACACGCATTCACGCATGATACAGAGTACGAAGTGGAAAGGGTGCAGAAGGAAGAAAGTACGGCAGCAACGCAACGGCTCTTCCAAAAGGCATACTTCGGTGTATGGGACGTCAGGAACGATCGAACCAGGCAACCGATTCTTAAGCCGTTTCAGATAACAGCTGAATGATGCGACCTGAGGAGAAACCCAAAGACCCACGCCTCAATGCACCCGCTTGCTCGTGGATCTTGTGGCTAGCTCCCCACATCCTTTGGGGGACCATTCTTACTGCACTGTGGCCACTCTTGGGTATATTGTCGTGTATTGTACAGCTGTCGTACTCCATACCAGGTCACCTTCTGTTTGATGTGCAGCACATTGTCGTCATGTCGATGTCTGGCGTCGATCGGTTCCGCCTCTATCCATTATCGGTGGCAGCGCTGCCGTCGCCGTCACCGCCGCCGCGGCCATCACCGTCACCGCCGCCCCTGTTGCCACCGTCGATACCGCCGTGGCCGCTGACCGAGGGGTTGCTAAGCTCACAGAGTTTGCCCGATACAGACGACCTGCATGTGCCGGCGTTTACCAATCCAATTTCATCACGGCGGCTATGATACAACCTATGCAAGCGCACGGCAGTACGGCAACGCATGCCGCTGATTGCTGCCCCTGTCGGTATCTGTGCCCGCTTACCTCGCTCCTTCGATGCGGATGCCGACACACTGCCACTGCCACTGCCGGCCAAGTTGCCGCCACCCCCGATCAATAGCGCCATCAGCGGCACTTCCGGCATCATCGCGGAACTTCGGGACCGCAAGCGGGGGATGTCCGGTGCGACTAGGGCCCCCCCGGCGCTTCCGGTGCCGCCAGACGTGTAGTGAAAACTGGATGCCTGTCGCACCAGAAGGTTACGTGGCGTCACCACCGCCGCCGCCGCCGTAACTCCGTCCACGTCATCACCGCCACCGTCACCATGCAGATTTCCAACAGCCTCAGTCGCCGAAACCCCAAGCGCGCCGTGGGGCTCCAGTGACGCTTGCCCATCCAAGTCCCATGGGACCCTAGGTGGGATGCTGCACCGTACTGCGAATACAGACATGGACGCAGCTGTGGTCGCGTCTAACGTCCCAGGCGGGCTGGCAGCATTGTACGATGACTCCGACGGCATCGCCGCCATATCCACCGCTGCTGCCGTACCCTGTTCAGCTTCATGACTGTCAAACGTCGGCGGAACAGCCAGTGTCGAGGTACGAAGCGGATCCATCGGCGGCAGCGACCGGCGGCCCCGTGCCGACGGTAGTTCGTACATATCGACAGTCAGCGGCAGCGGCGGCGGTGATGGCGGCGGCAGCGGCAGCTCCATCGCTGATGTGCTCATCGCACCTTCTTGTGGCTCGGCGCAGGAGTCTTGCCCACCGTTGCCGATGCAACCACGGGGATTGACGGCGCTACCTCCCCCGCCGCAGAGACCGCCACCGCCACGGCGGGTGGGCAAGGTCGGGCTGCTGCCGGCGACAGTGCCACTGATGCCGTCATCGGCAGCCACCAAAGGCACATCAATTGAGAGGGCCTGGCTGGCTCGCAGCAGCGGCGGCAGCAGGCGCCGTACTGGGGGTTTTGGGGGCTCCAAGAATGATGGCGCTGTGGGGCCTCCGTCAGCAGCGCCACCGCCAGCACCACACAAGAGCGCGGCCTCTGCCGTATCAAGCATCATTACTGGTACCTCGAGTACGACAGACTGTGGAGTAAGCGGTGATATAGCAACAAGTGACTCTGTGGCAATGGTCGCTGGCGGCGAATTATCCGGCGAAACGGGCACAGCTGCAGCACCACCGCCACCACCACCACCGCTGCCGCTGGCATTGGATGTCTGCCGTACCAGATACCGCCGGCAAGAGCCAAACCGCTGAAGTGCCGAACCAGGAGGAGGCCTGGGCGTGACGTGTGAGGAGCAGGAAGCGGCGCCTGTTGCGGCTGCGGCAGTCGGAGACGGTTGAGCCGTTGACGGTTGTGGTGAGACCGTGGGAGGAGTCAGGGGGCTGGATGGCGGTTCCACTGCAACGGTTATTGTGGCAGATGCGGTTGCATCAGTTGCGGTTGTAACTGAAGCCGGGAGGGGGGGATCGTACGGTTCGATTATGAGAGGTTCGAAAGTAGCCGTTTCTTCGCCCGGCAGACCGATTGAGGACAGGCAATCGTTGATCGCGGGCCGCAGAGAGGTCACCACTTCGGCCGCAGTCATGCGAGTTGGCGATTTGGTTGCTGCAGCCAACAAATCCGCACCGGCGCCAATCCATGCTTCATTCGCGGGTGAGCTTGGAACGCGCGCCTGCGCACAATGTGGGATGGTAAGGATTGAACAGGGGACTTCAGGGACATGCATTGCCAAGGCGGGGCCAAATGCCAAGAAACGCGCTGGGGAACATGGGGCAGGTAATCAACCCTTACCCAGCAAGAAAAGCCGTTTTTTGAAGGGATGCTCCTGCAGCCGCCCGCACGTGTCTGTGGACGAGCGGATTCCCCTGGCCTTGCCACGATGCTAGGTGTTGGCCCCTCCGGGACCACGCCCATTACTCCAACGGGAGAGCTGGGGCGTAAGGAAATTGCCGGCAGTTGCACATGAAAGGGAAAATCCGTAGGGAGAGGACAGCAGAGGTAGCGGGAAATATGGAGAAATGGGAGAATTGGCAGCGCCCGTGGTATACCAACGCTAGGAAACATGGTCGCGCATGGTCTGGCTCAGAAAGGAGGGCTGACCGCTGCATAGTTATCCTTGCAATCCTATTATTACTGTAAATTTGTAAGCAGGCTATCACGACCTAATCAAGTTAAATGCCGCGGCAGCTGTGCGCACCTATGAGGGCTTGGAAAGTGCGTTCCTTGCAAGCTACGTGTGGAAATGCTTTAACAGGCTGTGTACAAAAAACACGCTCTGTTCACAGTCCGCCATTAAGCAGTTGTCGCTCCTGGAAGAAAGGACTGGACGGCCAGGTACCGTCAGGGCTGCAGGTTGATGAAACATCTAGACTTGATAATGTCTGTTTTTATTCAGTTATACTAGATAGAAGCAAAACTGGTCCATATTTCTTCATATCGAACTGAAGCGGATGCATACTTTCAAAAGTCGAACCCCATAGCGCTGAAGGACTCCAACGTATAGCCTCGTTAAACTGATTGAGTCTATGGTGATTGCCCTAAACAAGACGCCGTTCGTCCCCATCGCAAGCAGGTACGGAAGCACTTTCGTAGTCATGTTCACAGCGAAGCCTGCATGATGCTCAGCTGTCAGATACATAGTAATAATATATGCAGCATGTTGATGGTGATTGATAGTTTCAATCTGTTGGTCTTGAGTACGCCGGCATATTAACACCGTACGCCTTTCGGCCAAGCAAGGAGTGGCCGCCAAAGGCAAGCATTTTGCTTGCAAGGTACGTGGATAAAATGAATCGTTTGGAGAGGTAGACGTGGGCATTTTCTACTTGTCAGTTCCGTAAGTAGCGTCCTTCGTGATCATAGATGAATCAGGATTGATTCCCAATTCATGATTATAAGGTTCAGCATCAGATTCGGATACGTTTTATGTTCTGTAAATTGCATCTCGCGGCTATCCGTTGGAAAATCATCGTCGTATGCGCGAAGAGGGCTAAGAGGGCCGACGGGCATCCCGTCCAAGTCACAAAGCGCATACAGCACAGTGCACAGCCAATCGCGTTTTTCAATACTGTTTAGCATCGCCTATTCAGTAATCTATTGCCGCATTGCGATACCTGTAGAGGTAATGTTCGCCTCGGAAGCTAGCCCTTGCGTATTTCGCTACCACCTATGCATTTTTATCCAGTTGCACTTTACCATAATCTCTTTGATCTAGCCAAATGTGTGTATGTCACAGTAGTGACCTCGTACTCGGTCGAGCCTCCGTATTCGTGGACCTGCCAACGCACACAGTGTATTGCATTGCTTCGCGCACTACAAGTGACGACAAGTTTCGGAGGCTGTATCGTTTCAAGGCGCCCTGCCAGCGGCCTTGCTCTCGCTCATTTCACTCTTTTGCCAATCAAAACTGAACGGTGAACGCTCTCAGCAGCCAGTCCATGGACGCTGATATTCATTGCACAGCGACAACAAGTTTGGAGGTGGCTATCCAGCATAGGCGTCAAAACCCCTCGCCGCCGCCGCCGCTCGAGTCGAAGTGCCTGCAGCTGCGAAGCGGCACCTTATGGACCATAGCCTTGGTCCGCATGGTACGGATGAAGTCTACCTTGGTGAATACCCCCCACCTGCTTTGCTTGAAGTATACACGTCTTGCACGGCAGCACTGACGAACTTCCTGAGCGAGGTGAACTTCCCTGAGGAGTTTTACAGCCCAAGCATCCGTGGGTATAACCCCAACCCCGTGGCCAGCTGCTCTGGTAGAATGGCAGAATGGAGATGTGAGCTTCCCTTGAGCCCGGGAGTGGTTGACATCGTCGCTATTGTGCCGCTCGTTTCAGACCTGGCGTTCGTTTTAGCGCCTGGAAGTGGAGCAGCCGTCAGGTTCTGGATGACCTACCGTGCCAAGGGAATGCCTGAAATGGTTCTGAGCACCATGATGTGCCTAGCGCCTCCACGGCACCAGATACTTCTAAAAGCTGGCCAAGTGCTCCTCATGTCCGGTAACACCTTCCACAAGGGGCCATTCCCCCACAACGATGAGCCACAGCTTTACCTCAAGTTCTTCATTGGCACACCAAGACAACTGGGGAGGCCTTTCAAGCCTCGGGACTTGAGCCAATTTTTTGAGATAAAATTCCTAACATTGACATGTTAGTTATGCACGGTGATGCAACATGAAGGCAAGGACAGGCAGCATATCATATCTAAGGCTCACCTTTTGGTGTCATGCCTAAGTTTGTCACACCAGTATGGCTGTTAGATTATATCTTCGGCTAATGATTCGGTGCTACACGTTTGTAGCCCCAAGGTGAAGCTGCTTTACAGACCCTCTTTTCCCATGGTTGAGTGTAGGCCAGTGAAGTACAAGTTGTTGATGTTGTTACAGGGTGGTTAAGCTTCACCAGTGGCCTCCTTCCCGAGGCAATTCCCTGCTCTCCCCTGCTAGAGGGGCACCCTAAGCCATTCACCCCATCCGACTTCAGAGTGTACTCTTTGAGCTTGGCAACTCACCACCAGCATCCAACCAAATCTAGCGATTCAACGGCGCCTCAACTTAGTTCCTGTTATCACGTCCTACACCGTCCACAAGATGGGGGGCCACTTCCCATTTTCACCACCTCTCAAACACCCAAGAGGTCGGCAAGCGGATTTGAACCCGGGTTGGCCGGGAGCAGAAGTCAGGCCTTAACCTCTGCCAGCCGCCTGCCACAAGTTACAAGTAACAAGTGCCGCACGAGTGCGGGAGGGTCCGTAAATGCCGGGAGGCCATGGACTATATATATTGAAAGTTGATTACACCGTACGACCGACGGCGGTTTGGGTCCTGCCAACTAGACCCCTCCTCATCCAGTCAGCCAACATCCGTAGAGACCGCGCTGCGCCGCGAAGGGGACCGTAGCTTCGACTCCCAGGGCAGCTGTGGGTGTGTGGTGTGTAAGGTGCTGTGTGGTGCATAGGTGAGAACGGTATTAATGTGGGGAAGCAGTGGCGTGGACTCAGTTACATTACATCTGTGACGGAGGGTGGCTTAGTAGCAAGCCACAGCCAGCAGTGTCGTAGCAGAAGGCATTCTCGAGGTTCACATCCGGCATCCAACAGCAACGACCCATAACAGCAAGAGAGGCAGTTCCTCACCGCAGGCTGCCATGTAAGAAGTTGCACAATCACACAACAGCAGGCATGTGATAACTTTAATTCGAAGCCTGAGCATCAAATTGATTCGCAGATGTGAAAGAACACAAACATTTCTAGGTTCGCAGTCTCAGCGCATGGTAACGATCTTGCAGACGTTCTCAAGGCTCGCAATGGTCAGATCCGTGCCCTGCAGCTTTACATGCAGATCTGCCGTGAAAGCCGCATTGACGGCTTCGCAGGCGGAGGTGATGTCGTCCGGTGTGGTGTCGGCGAGTGGGGTGAATGAACGGGCTGCACTCGATTCCATCCAGTTCTGAGCCACGTTGACGGTAGTGAGTCAGAGCCGTCACAGCAGCACCCGGCTGCTCCGGATTGTCATTGTGAAAAACCAGTAGGGTATCAGCTGCTGCTTCCAAGCTGTTGATGTTGTCATGGTCATCCCGGAGCACAATGGCCATGAACAGGCCTGTGCTCAGGAATGTGTTCTCATACGTGGTCTCGAACGTTTCGTGAAACGTTCGGCACGATCGTGTCCTGCCAACTTGAAGGACGCCATGGCCATTCCGATGGTCAGGCTGGCTGTCGTACGGTTTGCCGCGGAGATAAGGTTTCCGATGCCCTTGCATCGGTCCTCGTGGGCGGCTGCGGGGTCTCCACCACCAGCAGCTGCAGTGTCAAGGAAGTGGCGGCTGATCATGATCGTGCAGTTCAGCCATGTGACTTGGCTCTGCGACGTGGCCTTGGCGACATACTTGGTGGCATAGTGCGTGGTTCGGTGGGCCACAACCTCTGCTTGCACAAGGATGTCCTCCAGGACCTCGGGGTCACACATGGGGACCGGCAGTACAAGCTGTTCCTCCACTGTTGCGATGTACTGACGGTCGAGCTCGCAGGCCAGCGTGAAGACGTTGTTGCAGCCCAGCACCATTGTGACAGCGGGGCAATGGGGCACAATGTTGGGGCCATATCGGGGCAGAACGAACAGGCCGCTGTCGCCCACCCACTTGAACTCACACCGGATGTGGCGTGGGTAGGCCATGCCGCAGTCTCCATCCACGCCTGCACAGCCGAAGCGTTTGCAGGTGTCGGTGTGTTTGTGGGTGCAGGACCCCACGACACCCGCCACAAGGTGCTGGGTGCAGCGTTCCAAGCACACTTTGGGTGTAAAGGTATCAGTGGCTTCACCCCCGGTCCCACACGGCTTGCCACGGGCGACAATGGCAAAGTCATACGCGGGTGCCGGCATGGATCCATCTGGCTGAGGCGCGTGGATGGCTGGGGGGCGGCCAGCGGACGCTGCGGGGGGGGCTGGCTGGACTCCATTGTCACCATTGCCAATGTCTTCATCTGTGCCCGAGGTGCTGCCAGGTTCTGCTTGAGTCAGGCCGTCATCCTCTTCTGCAGTAGCATCTGTCATGCTGTCATCACCAGAATTCGTTGCTGCCGTTGATGTTTCCATGGGCGTCGGTGCAACTGCCGTTGGTGTGGTGGGTGCAGCCGTGACCAGGGGTGTCTGCCAGAAGACTCGTCACTCTTTGTCCTGAATGTCGTAGTACGGCTCAGGCAGCCACATGCTGCAGAGGGCGTGTGCCAGCGCCAGAGTGCGGCAGTTGGGCCCCTCAAACAGGGCCCGCATTTTGTCCACGGTATCGCTGCCAGGTGCACCATGCCGTGCAAGTGCAGGGCGAGGCGTCCACTCTGCTCCACCTTGATGCAGATGTGGAACACGGTGCCACAGAAGCAGTCGGGGTTGCTCTGCCGCTTGTCGCCAGGTTTGAAACCAAAAAGGATGTCCATGAAGGCGAGCTTAACCGCGTTGAGGAGTGCTTGGCTGGTGTAGGGGTTGTTTTGCACCCGCCGCCACTTGTCCATGACACGCTCCTCCCGCAACGGAGCACCATCCTCGCCAAATTCCAAAAATTGCCCAGCGGCCACGACTGCAGCCGCACTGTGCAAGTCGGCGGGGTTGACGTTAAACATGAGGAGTGGCAGCCCGGTTGCGGCGGCTACACCACGTAGATTGGCATGCATGTTGCAGTAATAGGCATCTGTCATGTCGATGCGTGCGACCGTTCACCGAAGAGAGGTGACGAGGGCGTGCACGAGAGGTGACGTGTCTTGAAGCAAGCGGCGACGATCCGGGTGCATCTTCGGCAAGGCCAGGATGTCCACCATCGCTTTGACAGCCTCTCGCGGGATGGCACCCACTGCATCGATGTCTTGCTGGCAGCTCTTCACTCTGTTCAGACGGTGATGTTCTCCGGCAACAATGCAGCAGAGCGTGGGATGGCGTCCACCCACTGATCGAGTGATGGGTTCGCCACGGCTATCCCGTGCATTGTGACGGTGATGGGCTGCAAGTCAGACGGCCGGTTCTTGACCTTGAGCCTGTAGATCTGCTGCTGCACATGGCCCAGCCCCAGTATGTTGGCTTCCAGCACGGTAGGCCACTCCAGACGCTGCCCGTCCTGATTGATTTCTGGCACGTCTCCACCATCATAGCGTGCGAGAGCAGCCTCAGGGATGCGTCCGCCTGGATGCGGAGGCAGCAGCCACAGGCAGGGCAGACCAGTCAGAATAACCAGTGCGGTTGTGTGCATGCATGCATGAACACCCAGCACACATGATCCGCAACGAAAGCACTGCATGCAAATTCTCATGTTAGTGTTTAGTGCTTACATTCCAAGGCATGAATGCAGTCGTTGCACATCATGATGATGTCCTCGCCAGCCCCGTTGGTGTGCACCGTACAATTCTCCCCAGAGCGCTCCACACGCATGCAGTACGGCACTAGCCACA